AAACCTTATGATTACAGAGCTGTTTTATTCACATATCCTTATTATGAAGAGAGGTTCTCTTCATACAAAAAGTTTCAGGCGTATAAACCTCTCTGCTTTTAGATACAGACTAATTGAAAATGGCTTTGCGGGCCCGAAAAGTTTCCAGGGCTTTCGAGAAACGGGCCCCTGGTCTAACAGACGTATCTGTCCGCATCGCGGACAAATGCAAGCCACAAACGAATGTCGGTCCAGACAGGAAAAGGGCTAATTAGTGTTAACAAGTTTTCTTTCTTGAGGTCGTCCATTAGTTTGATGGGGGTTTTCTACACGGTTTCAAATAGTTCCACGCGATGTACGGGCTTCCGAGTAAATAGACCAATTAGGTTGACATAACAGACGTGGGGCATATGATACGCCAATTAACATGTCCTGGTCGGTGCTGGACAAGACTCTTCCTAAAATCTTGTTGGCAATTGTACCTGTGAGATGTCACTTTGGCTCAGTGAGTGTACGGTCCACAGCCGGCAACATAGGCATGCTTTGGTGGCGTACGCGTTACCACTGACCCGCAATGGGCATAACCTGGAGCTGTTTGCGCATGCTCAGATTCCTCATTACCACATGCAGCACTATGAATTTTTGCAAATAAGCCAAATCAATATCTCAGTTGAGCATCCTTAGTAAGGTTGGCCCTCTGTTTAGGCCACAAGTCACTGGATACAACTTTAATTTTATCAATATGGTTATCTACTGAGGCTTAACTTCTGAAAATAAGCTTCTGGTTAGATCATAGATTTCTAACACTTCTTGATATCGGTTGTTATAAGAGGAAAGATGTTTCGCGTGAACTAGTCGTTCCAAAAAATGAGACTACCTTTGCTCTTCACGATAGCCCCAGTAGAGCGTTTATTATTAATTCCAGTCAAATTCCGTTATATCAGTGTTTTCTCGCCTAGCCGATCACGTGGAGCCACCGGTTACGTCCCTTGGCAGAAGTTGGCTCGTCCAACTTCGATTTTGAGCAGCCTTTACTTTGTTTGAGAAGAAATTGGTCGGGATTGATGTTAAAGGAGAGGCAATGATATGGATACATGCATGATAACGGCGACATGGAAATAGGAATCAGTTTTGGTCTTTCAATCGCAGGTAGGAGTCTTCCTGATATACTTTACCCGAGGTATCGAAGAAGTGAAATGGAGGATGGACAAAACAGCAAGACAGAGCATCAGTGGAACAAAGAATTACCTTATTACATGAAATTTTCGCGACACGTTAATTTCGCGAATTTCGCGATTTAAAAAAAATCGCG